ACCGACCATTACACCCTAGGAATGCAAAGAGGAGTGCGATTATGAAAAGGTCAGCAGTTACAAAAAGGTTACAAGGTATGTGAGGTTTATTAAGGAATATGTACCTGATGCCTGGGGCGTCCAACAATAGAGGGGAACACAGCACGTGGAGCATCATCTCCTGCAAAGCCAGCTTTGCACATACCAGATCCGTTGTCAACAACGAGGGCGGCAATTTCGTCTTCCATTTTCTGTATGAAGAAGAAACAAGACGGAGGAAAGGATTTTTAATCCTAACGTTCAGCAGTAGTGTGCGATACATCTGGCAGACAGCCTGGATGAAGTCTTGACGTTATTGAGAACGGACGCTGGATGTCGCAGTGGCGCAAGGTTGAGTCCTAATCCAGAGCTGAGAAACAAAAGCAGTTTCTCACTCGGGCTGGCCATGGCCATATAAGGCAAAAGTGAATGCAGCTTAGACACTGCTGTAGACCGGCCCGGAAGCCGCCCCGTGTGTCGCTAAACCTCAAATGACACCGACAAGCGACCACTCCCTTCACCGAGCTCACCATAACCGTTAACCACACAAACCCCTTTAGCAGCTGAACGAACAAATCACAGTTAAATCTGATATAAACGTCGTGACTGCCGCATTTGCAAGGTTACACGAACAAAAAGCCAACTTCGCACATTTCTTTAAAGCAGACGCACCAGGATTTGCACATTAACTGATAGCTGCAGTGACAAAGCAAAAACCCTTAATTTCAGAAGCTCTACTTACAAAATTAGTAAAGTCTCTATAAACCTAATCCAGCTAATCTGCATTTGCCTGCTCTGGTGTTTGAATGTTTGAAACCGGAGACACCAGAGCTGCAGACCTGCCACAGTGGATGCTTACATGTAAGCGAGAAGGTCAAGCTTTTTTTCCCCTTAAAACGTAGTCTTGATTTGTCGGACTACAAAGTGATGACAGCATCGAGTGGCAAGGTTATTTCACACCCTCTTAAACATAAGCGGCATCATGTCATCACATTTCTAAACCGAACCGTTACATGGTTAAAACTGTGGCGGTCAAAATAATAGGAACACCGTAAAGCCTAGCAAGTGGCTTCAGCTTGAAAGACGTCTCGAATGAGAAAAAGACTTGCTTCGTAAGCTAAGCAGTGATATATATATATAAAAAGAAAACACTCGCTGTTTAAAATGTTACATTAAAGCGTTAAAATGTGAGGAAGAAACTTCCACCGACATTCCCCAGTTGTCTTACCTGTGTGAGGGAGGGTTTGCGGTGTAGGAGAACTGTGACTGAGCGCTACACTCCGGTAGGATTTAGTGTCTGAACTTGACTGCAATGAAGGCCAATAAATTGGAGGATTTTTATGAGGGCTCGTGCTGCAGCCCCTCTCCATAAAAGGAGAACTTTCCGCACGGCGCCCGCTGATTGGTTCGGCTCCATCCACTGGGTGTGGCGCATGCAGATCATGGTTTGTGCGCTCTGACATAGCAGTGGGGGGGACAAGTTCCACTAAACTAACCCATATACCCCCTAAAAGTTATCAATCCGGGGTCGTTCAGTGTTCAGTAAACCTGCTGATTTTTTTAAACTGTCTGCCATAATGTGATAATAATACATAAGTGGGATACAGACTAGTGGATGACAAATCCCACAACCCCTGCTGCAAAGCACTGAATGGTCCCTGAGCATGTATTAGTTATTACTTTAATAGACTGAATTAATCCAGCCTATAGTTATGTCGTTTTTACATCCTCTACATTGTGACGATGCCAGGATCATCGTGATTATAGCCTCAGTGATATAATATACACATGAATGAGTGCTCTTAATTTAATTCACGGGGTCAGGGAATGCTTCAGAAGACGATTTCACCATTCCATTTCCCATTTGTTTGCAGATGCTTGTTTGTGGTGACAGGACTGGGGATGGTGTTTAATCTCAGGGTCACTGACAGCACGGTTAACCGTCTGTCTGACTCCTCTGCCCCAGCACACCAGCGTCACACACACACAAACCCACACAGTGCAGACTGACAGTAATGCATGTATCCAGACTGAGTTGCGGTAATGTTTAGGGCATGACTGTAACGAGACTATATATATATATACACATATATATATATATTTAGTCTGTTAACTGTTAAATCTTTTTTCTTTTACTATATTTTATTAATACTTTTGCACTTTACTGTTTTTTACTGTACCAGTCTGCTGAGTGACTGTCTTCTGCTCGTCAAATACATTTCATTGCAATGTTGACCCTGTGCTAACTTGCATATGACAAATAAAACTGAGACTGTAAATGTCTTACCTTTTCATCACCTCGCAGGAATTGAGCAATTGAGTTTACGGGGCTGATTAATCATGTGAATGACGTGTGATGAACAGGCGTGTTATTTTCAGAACATACTTATATTAAGTGTCAAAATAAAAACAATTAGGCCTGGATTGATTACTCAGGAACATGATTCACTTCTGGTATGCATACAGCCTACACAAAGGCAGGTATTTCACACACCATTGTTTGCCTCTGGCCTGAAACTATTTCAATGCTTTGTTGATTTTTTTTTTTTTTTTAATTTTTATAATGAAAATCCTTCTCCAAGGCTCATTTTATAAGTTGACCAGAGATTAGGTGGCTGGATGGGCTTTAACTCAATAAGGGCACCGGACAAAGCCTCATAAACTTACATTAGGAATTCTCACAGGCCCTGTGTGTTCCTAATAAGGATATATGGGAGCTGGATCACCAAAAGGCACAGGAAGCAAGCTTTTAAAGTGCCTCACTTCTACAGATGGAGGAAGTGACCACACAGACATGCAAACACACACACACACACACAGCTAGGTGTAGGTAGGTGATCAGGTGATCAGAGAACTGGCTTTTCTGCTCAGCATTATCCTGCTTTGAATTGACGTTAAACACACACACACACACACACACACACCAAGTATAGACCCAGGGCACCACCATCCCTTTAAGAGTTCCTTTGGATGACGTCCATATAAGGAGATATTGGAGAGAGTCACATGGGGGGAAGAATGCGCTGCTCCGGTCATGTGACCACTCTGAGGAAATGAATGAATCTCCCTTTTTAAGGCCATGTTTGTCTGTTACCGCTCACATTTTCTTCTGTATTCTTTATCCGATTTATGTTTCAATCACAGTTTTAAAAGATTAAATGTATCTTTTAAAATAATCTTTTAAACTTTGTTCTCTATCCAGACAGAAGTTTCTCAATCTCACGCCTTTCCTTCAGCAATTTCAAAACTAGGCAGCGTGCATGACTCATGCACGCATTACAACACATAAATGTAGGCACTCCCTCCCTGCATTGCTCACTCACACAGTCAGAGAAACTCACAGTCCTGGGTAAGGCCAGCTCTGACTAAGACCGTATATGGAAGAAGCTGGCAGGTAGCTTCTGTCCACTTCTCACTCATCCCCCTCTCTCCCCACCCTCTCCCTTTAAACTCCCATTAAGTCTCCAAGCCACTCTCTTTTTCTGTATGTGAGCACCATGTATGCTCAGTATGCATACTTTACCTGTTTCAATCTACACCATGTTTCCAGTCGCTTAATGGTCACATTCCAGCAGAGTTTCATACACAGCATTGAGGGGGCGGGGCTCGTGTATGTGTGGTATGCCTGTGCTGCAGTAGAAAAAACGAGAATGAAAGAAGGTATAGGAAACACTAAAATATTAGATTAGAAGAAGCCACAAAATTAAGTCGTTAGTGGTCTTTTAGCTATTACTGCAGCTAAAATGAAAATCAGAGAAACCGCATTTAGTAAATAATAGCACATTTATTACTGTGAAATAACAATGCATCTCATGTGAATAATGTAAGGCATTAGCACGATGTCTTCTGTCAACCTTTAAGCTTACTGAATTTTTAATTCTAAAATATTATGTCCTATCTTAGAGTCACAGGGACACACAACCTTTCTTTTAGGCCCCTAACAGATGAGATACAGGGCTACAAGATTAGGAACAATAATGATATGCAGTATTATGCTTGCGTCACCTCATTTCTTTATATTTTGTTTAGGCAAAAACAGAGTTTGTACAATTCTAAGAAACTCGAAAGTCAATACTTTGTATGACAATCCTTACTCTCCAACATAGTCTGAACTCTTAGGCAAGCTTTCTCATACTTTATTTAAGTCGTCTTCAGGAATAGTTCTGGAGGATTTCTAAAGGACATTCAAAGCTTTCTTGTTTCTCTGTTATACTGCTTTTTGTTCTGTTCTCTGTAAAGATGATCCCACACTGCTTCCGTAATGTTGAGGTCCAGCCTCTGGGGAGGCCGATTCATAATCTTTCATTGTGTGTTTTTCTACCCAGGTATGCATTTACTGTATTAGGAATGTGTTTGGATCAGTGTCATGCTGAAAAATAAACTTGTTGCCAATTAGATGCTTTCCAGATGGTATTGCATGGTGGATCTAAATTTGACAGCACTTCTTCTGTGTTCATAATTCCATCAATTCTGACAAGATCTCCATCACCACTGGCTGAAATGCAGCTCCAAATCATGACAGAGCCTCCAATGTGTTTTACAGATTAATGTAGACACTCACTGTGGTAGCGCTCTCCCTACCTCCTTCATAAAAAGACAATGATGTGAACCAAAAAAATACATAAATTCCAGTTTGGATTTACCCCTTCATCAGACCTGCTGCCACTGATTTTCAGTACACTTCTTATGAAATTAGGCACACTTCACCTTTTTCTCCCAGTTTCCTTTCCTTAACTAGGACTTCTTGACCTTTCCACTGATGGATCAACTGGATCAGGTGAAGATCCTGATGCATCTCTCCTGTCAGGAAACAGCCAGTGTCCAAATAGGAACTTCGAAGAAAGCCTGGAGAACTATTGTTCATCAACACTTGGAAAATTACAAAAAAGTCCTGCTCCTTGGAAGCAAAATATGTAGAAAGCAGGGGTGGTAACTAAAAATGTTTCAGCTAGTACTTAAATCAATTAGTCTGTACTAAAATGTGAGAACATCTTTGTGTTTTTATTTTATTATTGTATTCGTAAGTGTAAAGTCTTCAGTTGTTATTGGAAGTAAGTAGAGTATAAATATCCTTTGATGGCTTTAATTCCAAAAGTAAATACAATATATTGATGCCCTGAGTAACAGTATAACATTATCCAAGACCTTGTACCACACATGACAGACATGCAGTTAACATCTCAGCATCAGAAACAGATTTAATCTTTCAAAAAAAGAAAGAAATATGTACACATTTATACATTTACTGCCTTACTTTTTTTTTTTATTAACAAAACACAAATATTTTAACTTTACAATGCATTAATAAACTGTAAAAACCAGTGTCAGAACAGATTGAATCCTCCATATGCAAGTCAAGCAGTCCAGCTTTTCCCCATGTCTACAAGCTCCATGCCTTCACAGTAGGACCGTGGTCGTGACACCCTGACCTGGTTTCATAGAGAAACATCGCATCATTCAAACTGTGAAACCACACAGACGTTTGTATCTTACCGAAACTCTCATGGAAACCACATGCACAGTCACACACTCACTGTGGGTGTCCTGTGAGAAGCCAGTTGCTGCAGAAGTGGAAATGGAGTCCAGTGAATGGGTTCCACTGGCCAGCTACACACTGAAAGGTCACTGGCCTTACCCGAGTCCAGCACACCATCCCCCATGCTCATCTCACTCCCCCTCCATCCATACTGGGAACTACAGGGTGCAAAAGGATTATTTACATTATTTAAACACTTCAAGTTCAAATTAGTAGATATTTTAAGCAACAGTTAGGGAAGAGAGTAGTGAAATCTTTGAATGAGTGGGTTTTTAGAAAGATTACTTATTAACATTTAAACTAGACTCAAGTGTATTTTGCATTTATGTACTAATTATTATGTTGTGTTAAGTCCTGCAGTTAATTATGGATAGTTCATTTCATTTCCTATCCAGTTCAACTTATCCCAAACTGTATGAAGTGAGTTTAGTTTGGATTACTTTGGAGGCCCAGTCCACTGATGCCCTAACATCCTACTTCTGGGAGAAACCTCTGCTGCACATGATACATTCATTAGAGTTAGCTGCTGTGGGAACTGGCAATTAAAAGCACCTCACACACATTTAGAGCTCACGCTAATGCCTCACAGAGTTTAATTAGAAACTCCATTTCAACATTAACTCTCCAGGAACTGACTAGAAATTTGGACTCTGTGCTTATGAATCAAAATCTGACATTTTATTGAAACTACCATGTATTAGTGAGATGCAGAGGTGGTGAACAGAAGGCATTTGCGGCTTCTGCTGAAGTGCCAAATACTGCATGCTCTCTAATGGCAACTTGAAGCTGGCTCCAAAAGCAAGTCAATGTCCACAGACTCCCATCCATGTTAAAATGGCCAGCTTTACAGTCTTAAAAAACAACAACAACAACATGTCCACTACAAAAATAGATTGTCCCCTCTCCAAAACATCTATACGGTGAGTGATTTATTAGTTTCAATTTCTTCTTATTTTAATAATTGATTTATCGGGCTACTAGAGTCTGATATTCCCCACCTGACCTATGCTGTTGATGCCATTCTGGAGCATTTGGAGAGTGACTGGGACATGAATAACTTGAGCCGATTATATAATATTTTATTACAGTGTATTTCTTACTAGGCAGCTCATTCTCTTGACAACGATTTCTTTAAAGCTATAACACATTTTGGGGTAAGACTGAAAAAAAGGCAGGTTTGAAATGTAAAAGGGAAGTCAGAGGTCAAATGTTACATGATATTTGGATGCAAGCTACGATGTGAGATTTACAATCCCCATGTACCAGGATCATTTCCTAAATGCTGCCAATGCAAACACAGGCAGAAGAATTTTAAGCAGTTTTAAGATAAAAGACATTTTATGAAAGTTTGACCTTAGGGTCCAAAGTAACATGGTATTTAGAATCCGAATATAGAATTCCTTATATCCCATATGCTGTCAATACAAAAAAAAAAAAAAAATGTCAGTAAGAAACAGTTTTAGCTTTACTGGCTTTAAAACATGTAAATATTCCAAGGTGACCAGTGACCATCACTGATAACTGTGAACCAAGTTTGTTTTTAAGCTTCAAGAGTGGCATTGGTGAGAACAGAGAAGCTTTTCACTGAAAACTCTCCCACATTTTGGAACACACAACTCACTGTCAGACAATGAACTCTGTGTGTGTGTGTGTGTGTGTGTGCGCTGTATATACCTGTGGGGGTAGATTGTGTTGATTCGTGTTCCATGGCTGGGGCAGGTGGAAGCCAGTGACAGCGTGTCGTCGTGGTAACAGCAGGGGCGGTCAAGCGCTCGCAGATGCAGCAACTCATCGGAGCGTGTGAAGGCAGGATTGTCCAATGAGTCTGCCGATCCCGCCCACGAGCGCAACCAGAAGCGACCTGACAGCTCATCAAAGTGGTTGAATCTGCGATAGCTGCGCAAACAAAATCGTGAGAGGTCACAGGGTACAATGCTTGTTGTTGTTGCTTCTCTTTGCAATCTGGGTTTTCCTTTTTTTAACAATTGTGTGCCAGCTTTAAACGTTTCACATGAACAAAATTTCAAGAAGGAAAAAAAAAAAAATATATCAACCTAGTCGATGGGAGACAGCCCTTTTACAAGGTGGGGTCATAACTTGAACCTTATCTCTGTGGCATTCATAGAAGCTCTTATTTTACCCCTAAAAAGAGTTTCTTCTTAAAAGCTCTTCACAAAGCTGCTCAGTTTCACCGAGGAACAAAGAACTCCTATGACAACAGAAAGGTCGGAGATGACCCCGCTCATACAGATGATGTTATGTTTCATGAATGAACTGATGTGTCACAGTGACACATGACTGCTCCTTGCCAGTGAATAACTTTCCATTTACCAGAAATAGATCAGTAGGTAAGAAGAAACATTAACAGATTTGTTTAAAACATTGCAGATCAAGAACAATATAAAACTATACCGCTTAATCACCATTTAATGGGAACAGGTGATTTTTTCCAAGTTATTTTAATAGTGTAAGTTCCACTTATAAACACCTTTAAAACCCAGCCATTGCCCTGAAACCAGTAGTTGTCAGCAGTTTTGTAATGAACTCTAGTTTACAACCAGGGTTTGTGTACACTCTGTATACTGGCAGGAGATTACTGCTCTAAGATGTATAACCAATTGTGACTGACAGCTGCGATATTTGTGTTCATCAGTGCTGCACAAAGATTATAGAAAGGCCAGAACTGTTCAGCATATCTGATGTATTTATTTTACCTTACAATATAAAGCGCCTTAAGGTAACTGTTGTTGTGATTTGGTGCTATATAACTAAATGAATATTATTTGGAGTCATCATGAACTCAAAAAAAAAAAAAAAAAGCATTTAGCAGTGTTTTAGTATAGTCATAAAAGGTAAATCTTCCCCATTATTTGTATAAAAATCCTCTGGGATAACTTCTTTTAGGCTAATTTTAAAATATTTTCCTGTGCTAAATAAAATGCTTTGCAAAGTTTCTCTAAACTCAAGCAATCATGAGCTACTTTTAGTCTTGGGATGTTTAAAAAATAACTCCAAAGAGGTCCCAATTTCCTGGAAAACACACATTTCCTACTCTAAGTAGACGTACTGGACGTAAGGCTTAGCTTCAGACTTATTACTTCCTGTCAGATCTTTGTCTTTGTACATGCTCAATATTCAGTCAAACAAACAGTATCTTGATTAAGATCAATATGCTTTTGCCTCTTGCAGTCTCAGTTTGTTATTAAGGTTCAAATGAAAAGTGCTTCGACACAAGAATCCTTGTAGGTAGACTTTCATGAAGCTGAATCCAAGTCTCTGCACGCCATCATATTAGAACCATCCAAAACTACAAGGTCATTTTTTCCAGACTACACTTGGAGGAACACCCGTGGTTTAAAAACAAACAAAAGAAAGTACACAGAATTGAGATTGCATTTATGCTGGATTTACTAATATTACCATGCATACACCTCTAATATTAGTTGTGTAGGAGGAATTTCCGTTCAGGAACATCTTGTCTAATAGGATTCCTCATCTCCTGGCCCAGCACCCTAATGAAACATGTCACAGTATCAATGACTGTGTCTGTGTGCTCAGCTGTCAGCATATGTGGAGGTTAGACATTCAGATTGAGCCAGCAGTCCAGTTCCACCTTCATCCTTAGTATGTGCGTTGTCAGCTAGACTGTGCCACCTAGCGGCAATGAGTGTTTACAGTTACTGAAGAGCATGTGCGTTTATGTCAGTCTCTGGTTTTTCTCTCGTGGATCACAACAGAATACTTTCACCTAATGTGACTACTGCGATTTACTGTACGTCACAAATATGCACATTTTTACTATAAATTTTAAGGTTTATGGAAATACTTATCATCCAAAAAATATGTAACCTTTGCAGTGAAAACCACAATGGAGCTAAAAGCAAACAAGATGTGACTGAAGAGCAATCATTCAGTTTTAATTAATATATAAATATATTCATTTTAAAAATCCACTGTGGTGGTGCAGAAAGGCAAAATTAGAAAAACTGTATAATTAACAAAATATGCACATGCCTGAACTGTAGGTGTGTCTTAATAAAAGTCTTTTCCTACCTGCTGCGAGTCTGGTCTACTTTGGCCTGGATCAGAATTGCTCGATAGCGTCGCACTGCCACAAATGCCACAATGATGATCACTGTCACTATGATGAGTAAGATGGCAAGGCACGCACCAATGAGACGTGCGCGGGTCATCCTGACATCGCACCTCTCACCCATGAACCAGAAATCGTCACCTGCAAGGCAGCTAATGCCCAAATACAAGTCATTTACACATGCAAACAAAATATTCCTGGATGAACAAAAAGATTTGCTTTTTCTTTTAACGTTCTTACCGGCAAACTGGAAGCTGGTGTGGATGGTGTGTGCAGATGCCGTGATGGTGGCAGTAGTCAAAGTGGCAGACTGAGGAACAGCTGTAGTTGGCAGTGCCAGGCTGGGAAACACACTTATATCCTGCAGAGCACTGCAGTAACCAGTCACAGATGTCGCCCTGCAGACCTGAGGGGAAAGCATGTTTAAAAAGAATTAAAGAAAATAATAAAGGTGGTGCCATTTTTTTATTTTCTTATCATAAAGTGATCTCACTGTAATAATATATGCATCCAAAAAGCAGACAGGCACTGAAGTTTTTAGTAAACACATGAATATCATGCAATTACACATTAAGCTAATGTGTCACAAGGCTGAATTTTCAGTTGTAATTGAGATACTTGAGACTTAACAATTGTTGATTAGGTTCTCCATTAACCAGCTGATAATGTTTCTTATTTGGTCTAAACAGTAATCCGTATTTCAAAAAATTGTTACTAGTATGTGCACTGTATGGGCAAAAGGTTACATCGCTTGATCTTTGAGCTGTTTTCAGTCCTGTGACCACAGGTGTGGCCCTGGACTCTGAGTTGTGAAAAAAAAAAAAAGTGTCTTTCTAAAGAGTTAACTGAATTCAAGTGTTGGACTGTTATTGCAAGGATGTTTTCATTGCAATAATTCAATTTGTCAAATCTCTTCCGTCCAAGATTTCCACCATTTAAAAGGAATCACCACACCAGGTAGTTGTAACTCAGTCACCAAAGTAACAGATCACATAAAGTCACAAAGTGGTGAGGTACATAGTGTGTAAAAGTCACCAACACTCTAACTCCAAACTTCCTCTGGCATTAACATCAGCACAAGAAATGCGCATCAAGTGCTTCATGACACGAGTTTCGATGGCTGAGCATCCCCTGAAAATAGAAATGAACTGGCCACATTTTCAGTATCTAAAAGGTTTTACTTTCTCACCTGGAGAAATATAAAAATTTATTATCAAGTTTCCCCACTTTTAGAATAATTCTCATCTTAAAGCTACATGACATCACTCTTGCTTTTCTGGTGAAGATGTCTGTAGCATGTGCTCTCCTCACATGTTATGCCTCTAACAAGCATGCAGTACAAAAATGAATCACTGAACCTACTGCGTTTCTTACCAAACGACTATTTAAACTACACTGCAGCACTTCTGCATTGTAGATTTTTTTCTGATGCCAAACATTAAAATGGAAACCAATAAAATGACTCCACGCTATAGTAAAGAAGAAAAAGTTTGTTAGACCAAGGCAGGTAGAATAATTTGATTTTTCATAATTAGATTTTGAGCTTAACTGAGTCAGGCTAACTGAGTTACGATGTTTACATCAGTTTTCCTGTATCTGGGTTAATTGAATAAAGAAGCTAAAAAACTGAACTTTCTCTCAGGTTAATGAAGAAACTCGGGACATCTTGATGTCAATTTTTGACATTGATGACAAACTCAAACACCCTGTCGTCTGCAGAGAGATGACAGGAAATGAACGGAAAGATATTAAGAACAATGTGCATGAAAAGGCAACCAGACTCCTCCCAAACTGCTCAGCCACCGGGGCTTCAGTCAGCTGCCTGCAGACAGGCACGCGAACACAGGCTTACCTCCGACTGTGATGTTGGTGATCCTGGAAGTCCTGAATGTCCTCTTGTTGCGAACAGCCTGGGCTAGGCCAGTACGCTCCAGCAGTGATGTGGGTTCTGTCATGCTGAGCCACTCCAGAGCTCTGCTGGTTTTGAACTCCAGCAGGCTCTGCACTGCACGGCCACTGGAACAAAAACAGAACTGGAGATTTGCTTTCTGTACCTCTTTTTACGCAACTTTCTGTGACCGATCCCAAAGCATAACCCAATTACAATTTCCACTGTGCTTTAGTTAGATGAAAACATTCCAGTTGGGAAATTATCTGAGCCCCGTTGACAAACTGAGGGATAGCTAATAAAATTAACGTCAGGAAAGCAACATAGAGGTTAGAGACCATTACATAATTTAATGGACACTGACTTTAGTTTCCAAAGTCCCATTAGCTGCATGGGTAAAAAAAAATGATGTTAATACTTAGGAAAGGGGAGAAAAATGCAGAAGGCTGATGAAGAAGTTATTATGTTTCCCCCCCCCCTTTTTTTTTCCTAATGATGTTTAACTCTGGTGCATTTTGTGGTGTTTTAATTGTCTTTACTTATATCTGAGAGTTTATATCTTCCCCTAGTGGCAATGATGTATTTAACTTCCCATAACCTGGGATAGGAAACACACAAAACTGAGAAATGGACAGTACATATTGAGAGACAAGATGGAGCTAATTGAAACCTAGAAAGAGCCTGGAGGTGCCTTTCGTTTTCAGCTTGTCTGCACCACCTCACCTGCTCCAGACTCCCAGCAGCCGGCTGAACCCCGGGGCTTTCTGTAGGTATGGCTTCATCTGAAAGAAACCTTAATTGAGAACTCTGTAGAAACTACTCAGCTGAAGTCAAAAATACTTAATTATTTGATTATTTTGGCTTTTTTGGTGCCAGTGTGTGTGTTATTGTACAATCCCTCACCCAGGTAGTAGTGTCGTTCTCCAAATTGACATTTGAAGCCAACATGGGCTCTTCTACAACTATCTGCAGCAGCAGCTCAACTGACTCCACTGGACAGAACAAGTAAATAAACTAATTTCAGGACTTCTGGATATATAATCAGGATATTAACCTAAACGTAAAACACTTCAGTGGTGTTTGGGAAGTACCTCTTATGGCAGCAGGCTGATCTGGCACGATGTAGAACTTGGGACTGTTTGTGGAGCTTCGAGCGGGTGTGGAGGTTAAAGCAGAAGAGGGCTCCTGGCTGGGATGCATGGTTGTCCGCTGTGGAGGTTGCTGTGGTAGTCCAGATGTGGGAGTGCGTGTGGTCGTGCTGCTGGGAGACCACTGCCAGAACTTATCATACTTTTCTACTTGTACTTCTCCATCTCCATGTCCATAATCTAATGTTACAGTAGAAGGGAGAGGAGTATGTGTAGTAGTAATAATTAGGGGTTGGGATTGGTTACGTGTTGGTGACATATTAGTAGAAGTCGGAGGAGGCGGGTGATTGTGTGTAGGAGGTGACATTCGTGGAGGTGAAGGTGTGGTTTTGCTGACTGTGTGGTCCGTGGACTGAGACACAGACGAGGTTAAAGCGGGGTGTGAACTATCAGGAAACGTACTGTGTGTGTGGAGTGTGTACAAAGCTGTAGAGGACTCTGTGGATGTGGTGGATGATGAAACAGCAACAGCAGTAGAATCTGTGGGCGAGTCATCACGTAGGAGTGTGTGAGCAGGATGCAGAGTGTATGTCACTCCAGTGGTTCCTGTGATGGCTGAGTTTTGGGTTACACCTCCCACGGTCAGCGCTGCCCTGGGTGTAGAAGAAGAATCGGTGAACCCTGAAGTCCAACTGTAAGCCTTGGTAATACCAGGTGGGGAAGGGGTAGTGTTTGTAGTCGGGTGCGCATCAATGATATTTCTGCGTGCGCTTTCTACTGCCGTTTGTGTCTCTTTGTCTGTCTGTGTAAATGAAGATGACGTGTAAGCAGAATGTGTGGGGCTCTCTGTGCTTTGAGGAGAGTCTGTTAGACTCCTTGTAGAAGATGGGAGCGTCATCTCAGTTTGTTCAAACTTATCAGGCAACTCAGATGTGACAGTCTGAGCAGCAGCAACAGATACAAATGAGTTAATTTGACTTATGTTTGGATGAACTGGATCAGCCTCCACAGTGCTAACAACATTGTTGAGCTCTGTGAAGTGGGTGTTGAATGAATGAGTGCCGCTGTAAACTTCTGAAGATGATGATGATGCAGTGGGTTCAGTGTGGGTTTGTGCACTGAAGTCATCCTGCAGTGTTTTGATGGAGGATTTTAAAGGGTCAGAAGTGACAGCAAAGGTCAGGTCAGAATTATGTCTGTCTGTGCTTCTCTGGCTCCTCCAGGAATGAGGCCGTTCATCTCCAGATGTCCCACTAACACCCACACCATGTGCGGTTATGCCTGTATGACCTGTCCTGGAGGAAGATAGCTCAGCTGGAGCAGAAGTACGGAGAGGAACGCTGGCGCTGGACACTCTTTGATCCATTTGTGTGGCAACATCTTTGCCTGTGTTTTCAGATGTCTGAATGGATGTATCTTGTATAGCTTTGCCAAACAAGAGAGCTGAACTACTGGCTGTTTCCTCTGTCAACGCCATCAGAGTTTGAAGGCTTTTTTCAGTCGGGTTTGAGGGTGTGCTGGTATTGGGGCCTGCACTAAGTCCATGCTGAAAATATGGGTGTGTTGTATTTCTGGCAGCCATGGGCCCATCGGTGAGGTGAGCAGCTCCAGATGTTTCCGCTCCATTGTCTGGTTTTTCCTCAGGAAGAGGGAGAGTTTCCCTATCACTTCTCCCAGCGACAGGGAGTCCCTGCTGGGGTGAGGTGGGGTTCAGCAGTCCTTGATCCAGAGAGGAGGCACTAGACACAGACAGAGGTGCAAAACTCCTCTCCAGACCATCGTAGGTGTGATCTCTGCCCTCCTTCGTGCCTCTCGCCACTTCTTGATCAACAGGAGGACTACTTGTAAAGCTGGTTCCTGTTGGAAACCATTGAGTGGGGTCTAAGTCTGGATGTTGGGTTGAGTGGTCCTCCGAGGAATTCCTCTCATCTTCCTGGACTGGAAAACCAGGAACAAACACAATAACAGAGAGAGACAGGGTGAGAAGAGACAGAGTGAAAATCACAACAACATAACATTGCTCTATGTAACACCACAGAGGGAGATAAGATCTTTCCGACAGATTCCCAGCTCACGGCACAGTTGGAACAACACATTTTCACAGCATGGTAAACTATACACTGCTGAACCCGACTCCTACTGTAAATCATGAATATATTTCATGTATTCACTGAGAACATCAGGAGGCAGAAACAGCTCTAAAAATACCAGAAATAAATGTCATTATGATTCTCGTGATAGGACTAAGCAGTGGCTGATTATTGTAGGAATGTTTTCTCACCATAATAAGCCAGCTGAACTGCATTTAAAGAACGTCCTGCTCCTGTCCAAGTGAGGGCGGCTTTGTTCTTGTCACAACCAGACAGCAGAGCCTTGCCCCCGCTGGCCAAGGCTCGATCTTCTTCCTTCCAGACACAGCGCACCGATATACTTGAACCATTTTCCAACCATACTAACTTTAAGAGTACCTGCCCTCCCAAAGGGATATCTATCACCCAAGTGCAAACTGAAACCTGTGAGGTTTTGTCAGACTGCAGGATCATGGGGTCGAGACTGCTGCTGTTAGTAAACAGTCCAGCCAAAGTGAGATTGATGTGACCAGCAGGCTTTTGGTCCAAGCTGACATTTCCACCACAGTGATGATATGAAGAGGCCAGCGCTTTATCTGAGAAGAGAAAGAGAAAAACCTTGCTAGACTTGTGCAGTTCAAATTGGATTTGTGGGAATAAGCTGAGGGAAGTACAACCAAAAGGATAATTTAAACAGAGAATTTCAGAGCTTACAGAACATCTTATTTCCATTGACTAACCCCAATAATATCGAGGTTGATCCGAGAACAAAACGCTATTCCATACCGACAGTGTGCATATCACTTTGATTTAGCCTAATTTAAAGACAAAAGAATAGCAAATAGCACAATAAAATCTAACATGTCAGCGGCGGGCGGACGTTCTTACCTGTTGTGACGATAAAAAGCAACAGACAGGCGTGGAGCTGCATTTCCAATGGTGAGACATTTCAGTGTAGGACACCCTTTTAATCCAAAACACATGCAGTTTTTTTTTACACTGACAACATGTACATGTTACGAGGAGGACGAGCAAACTGCGCAAATGATTAATGAGCTCCAGTCTTTCCTGTGGACTGCCCCTGAGAGGGAGAGAGAGAGAGAGAAGGCAGAGAGGCGTCAGAAACTTTCCTCCTCCATCATTTCCTTGTAACGGAAACCGCTGCGCTGTCAGGGGCACAGCGCAGCACACTCACCTAAATTAGACACACGTGTGTGTGAGAGGCAGCCTGTCCTGTACCGCAGAATGGACAGAGGCTTGCGGATGGGAAGGTTTTACGCCGCCTCCAGGCTGTTCCACACGACATTTCAGAGAGGAAGGAATCCAGTGCGTAAAGTCTACACAGGAAAATGACCGCAGGCGGCATGGAGACATGAGAGGGAGCAGTTCATTAGAGCTTTTATACTTACGCCCCACTAGGAGTGCTCGAAAGACTAAAAATGAATGCTATGAACACGTAAACAGGTTTTACGTCTATAGGTTCAAAAAAAGTTTAGGAAATGCAGAACAAATGAAAATATACCGGGAAAGCGGATGACACCATTTCTCAAACATGTGGGAGAAAATGAACTTTGGAGGTGACTTTGTAATTAGAACGTGTAAGATCTGTAATTAAACACATTAGCTTCCTCCCCTATTTTATAACCCCATGACACCCACCGTGGACTGACTTGTTAAGAAACGGTTGCTTTCTACAAGATAGTGACCCGAAACACAGCACCACATTATACAGGAGAAATTTCCACACATTTAAAAACAAACAATCAAAAACAACAACAATCACACAGGACACAGTTTTGTTTTATTCATATAATGCCAACAACAATAATCATGTCAAAGCACTTTAAAGTGTAAGGTAAAGAAATACAGTTTTATAGAGAGAATCCCAGTAAGCACGTGATATCACTGGAGAGAAATAATAATAATAAAAAAAACAGAAACATCTCGTTTAAATCAGTCAGACCATCTGAATGAAAGTCTGCAGGCTGTGACTGCTTCCAGTAAAGGATTGGCCAGCTTATTATCCCAGCACGGTACCTGATCACAGGCAGTGTGTAGATATTCATAGCCTGGATCTTGTTCTTACCATTCAACTGACTCCTCAGGACTGGCCTGACCCTCTGCAGGTACTTGGTGGTTGCAGCTTTTCTAGCGGCCTCTTCATGGTTCCCATTTGCCTGTGGGATCCCCAGGTACTTGTAACTGTGCTCTATGTCTGAAATGTTGCCTTCAGGTTGTTCGATCCCCTCAGTTCTGACTACCTTCCCTCACTTGGTTACCCGACTACACTTCTCCAGTCCGAACAACATTCCAGTGTCATTGCTGTATATCCTGGTGGTGTGGATCAGTGAATTGATGTCTCGTTCATTCTTGGCATAGCGCTTGATGTCATCCATGTACAGGAGGTGGCTATGTCTACCATTCTGTAGTTGGTAGCCATAGCCAGTCTTATTGATGATCTCACTGAGGGGGTTAAGGCCTAGAACAGCAGTGGGGACAGAGCATCTCCTTGGTAGATCCTGCACTTGATGGTGACTTGTGCTATGGGCTTGAAGTTAGCCTCTAATGTTGTCTGCCACATCCCCACTGAGTTCCTGATACACAAAAGATCCAAAAAGAAGTTTACCTTTAATGCTCTGCACTACGAATGCATTTAATAGTGGTAACACATCACCTAGAAGTCAGAAGTTTAAAATTGATGCACAGTTTATGGTTTTGATAAGATAGTCGCTTGTTAACACTCCCTACACAGCTTCTAATTATTGCAAAGTAAAATGGAAACCCCTGTTTGATGGTTCATGGAACAAACTGATCCCAACTAAAATGATGTGATGCAGGCTTTGCAGCTTTGTTTACTGCAGTGGTGTGTGCCATTAAACAAAACTGCAGGGTTGACTGGGTTAGACTTTGTATGTGTGCTTGATGATGGAAAAGGAAAGTACAACATGTGGAGTCTTCCTGACAACCCGTGCGTAGGATCATGTGGACTCCAGAGTCAGTAAAAACAGGACCGCTCATGTTTCCCACTTTGAGAGCAAAGGAGGCATCTTCAAAAGCCTTCTGCACCTGAGTTAAAGCAGAAAACACACACTAAGCCATTATCCAAATAAAACTCATACATCATCAGCACATGTGACATGCATTCACAGAAAGTGAAATCAAAAATATTTAATTAATTCCATTTTTTAGAAAGCTTGTTAGTGCTTAGTTATAGCTTGGCTGTATGTGCATATTTTCTGCTGCTCTCTTGCCACAAGAGGTCGCCACAAGACAGCACTGATTTGCAGAAGTGTGTATGATGTGTAATGAAAGAGCCTCTGATGCTTTTGTTGTGAGGGTAGCTCATACACATGCTGTCATTGTGTCTCGTGAGTGTTTATTTTTCATTCAAGAGATCAGCATCAGTTTGATTTTGTGACGACAAACTTCATGTGAAGTTCGCAACATTGTTCAAGAGATTTGAACACACCAGTTTAGGGAGACATGGGTGCATAGAGTCGGGTCGGGTGCACAGGAGAGGTGAATAGGAGAGTGTCAGGGGAGATGTGCAACAGAACGAGAGAAAACATTTTTACAAGATGGTAAATTGGGACACTGGAAAGTTAATTACAATGACCATTGTGGCCTATGGCAGCGGACTCTGTGCTTGTCCTGCTAGACCTCAAGGCAGCAATCAATGCTGTTGACCATAATATTTTATTACAGTCATTATTATTTATTAAATGGAGAGTTATCTTTACACACTAAGTTTAATTATGGAGTTCCACAGGGTTCTGTGCTATGACCAGTTCTATTTACCTCATACATGCTTCCTTTATCATTAGAAAGGATAGAAAATATGGACCAAATATGGTTGTTTCATGGTTGCCTGCTCTATCACGCTGTGTTTTTTGAACACCATGACACAAATGCGAGATCAAATTATTTTTATGTGAGTACACAATCCCATTGCATAACATCAGCATTTTTTATATACACTACCAGTTAAATATTTGAACATACCTTCTCATTTAATAGTTTTTCTTTTTTTCATGACTATTTACATTGTAGATTCTCACCAAAGCTTCAGAACTATGAATGAACACACTGGAATTGAATGTAAACAAAAAATATATATTTTAGAATCTTCAAAATACACACACTTTGCTTTGATCACTGCTTTGCACACTGTTGGCATTCTCTTTTTTGGAGAGAGGTAGTCAGTCTGTAGATGAGGTAGGCACCAGAAATGGTTTTCCAACAAGTTCCCACTCCATCAGTCCTTCTTGGTCAAACAGCCCTTACACAGTCTGGAGCTGTATTTAGGTGGTGAAAAATAAATGATGGTTCAACTAAACGTAAACCGAATGGGATGGTATGTCACTGCAGGATGCTATGGTACCCATGCTGGTTCAGTGTGCTACTGTTCAACTCCCCAACAGTGTCACCAGGAAAGCACCCCCACACAGTCACACCTCCTCCTCCATGCTTCACGGTGGGAACCATGCATGTAGAGTTCACCTTTTCTTTGTCATACAAAGAGAAGGGGTGGAACCAAAGATATCTCAGATTTGGACTCATAAGAACAAAGCACAGTTTTCCAGTGGTCTAATGTCCATTCCTTGTATTTCTTGACCCAAACAAATCTCTTCTACTTGTTGTTTTTCCTTAGTAGTAGTTTCTTAGCAACTATTTGACCATAACACCTGATTTGTGTTATCGCGAGTCTCCTCTAAACAGTGGATGTAGAGATGTGTCTGTTACTGGAACCCTGTGTGGCATTTATCTGGGCTCTAATCTGATGTCTTGCTACCATTCAATCTCTGAGACTCGCATGAATTTATCCTGTCCAGCAGAGGTGACTCTTGGTCTTCCTTTCCTTGGGTAGTCCTTATGTGATCCAGTTTTGTCATAGCACTTGATGGGTTTTGCGACTGCACTTGGGGACACATTGAAAATTTTTAGAATTTTCCAGATTAACTGACCTTTAGTTCTTCAAGAAATGATGGACTGTCACTTTTATTCACTTAGCTGATTGGTTCTTGACATAATATTAAGTCTAACACTTGTCAAATAGGGCCGTCAGCTGTGTACCGCCAGGCACACCTGTGAAAGTGAAAACCAGTTCAGGTGGCTACATCATAATGCTCATTGACAAAAGACCAAGGGTTTGCAGCGCTGTCAACAAAGCAAAGTGTGGCTACTTTGAGGAATCTAAAATATAAGACATATGTAGAGTTATTTATCTTTTTTCTCTTTGCTACATAATCCCCCATATCTTGCTTCATATATTTGATGTTTTCAGTATAATGTAGAAAGCAGTAAAAATAAAGAAAAAGAATTCAATTCAAGTCTAAAAAGAAAAATGTTTTTACTTACCTGAGAGAGCAGAGTCAGGTGGAAAGCTAAGCAGTCTCAAAAACACTGGTGCCAAACTGAAAACCTTGTGTGCTTTGAATAAAGCACTCAAAAAATAAAATTGGGTGGTTGTTACATTTATAACTTGTAATTTAAACAAAACAACTGTTTATATGGTGAACATCATTATATTGTGTAGGATCTGCATGAAGTTCAGCCACTTTAATATGAGATGATATAATCTAGAAAGAGTGGTTAGTAGCCTGGACTTGCAAAATTCACAAACCACATAAGATTTCAAACCACAGGAAAATCACTTGTGTTATAAAATGCAAAAAAGGAAAGAAAAAGTATTGCTACTTATATTGGTTTGACATATCAAGGACAAAAATATAAATAAAAATCTGTATCAAGCCTTGTAATCAGTTATTATGTTAACCAGACTAGACTTTGTTTAATGACTCCAAAAAATATCTCTTTAAATTAATTTTAAAAAATCATGGAAAGGATTTCCATGTTAATAAATGGCTTTCTAGGATTAAATATTTTTGTTGGACTAAAATAATTTGAATGGGTTGGATCAACTCAATTAAATAAAGTTGGACTTAACTGCAAAAAAAAAAGGGTTATTCATCATTAAATAATTAAGTTGGTCCAACTCAAGTACATTAAGTTGGAATAGCAGAATTGTGTAATGCTAGAATAAAGCAATGTAATCATGTCGGAATTCTATAAACTCTACAAAAGAAACCTATGGGCTCAAATTGTGGTCATAAATATTTTGTACTTGTAAATCAGGATTTGTATGTGTAAAAAGAAATTGTGTGTGTGTAAAAAAGATTTGTATGTGTAAAAAGAATTTGTGTGTCTTTAAAAAAGATTTGTGTGTGGACTTAGCCAAAAAATACATGTGAAACTCTGCACTCAAGCTTCAAGTTACAAGTACGAATTTTGACCCTATTTTTATTCCTTTCATCTGATTGGGCACCCTGGTGTGCCCATCAAAACAAACTCCAACACTGTATAGATTTTCAGCAGGGATAAAGATTTGGCTCCCACGTACCACGAGCCATTAATAATTGACATAAGAAATTGTCTCATGGGCCAAATATAATTGTATAAAACACCCTTGGTATAGAACCTGTTTCTACCCAATAAACCATTACACAGACCTACTGTATGCTTCACATATATGTTTTTTAAGTTTATCTGTTCGCAATTACCTGGAGGGTCAGAAGCTATTTATTCTTCCTTCAAACTTGTTCCACTCTGTCTTCATCGCTGTGTTTTGGACAATGGTTGCTCACCTCATCATGTGAATGTTCTCTAACCCTAACCCCTAAGAAAAAGGCACTTGGGGCACACATCAAGAAAGGGGCAGGTGCTCAAGCCCCTTTCGCCCCCTCTTCACGTGCCTGGCCTCGAGCAGCCTCGGCCTAATGCAGTGTAACAAGGGAGGAGCAGCTAATGCAGCCCCAACTGTAAGCCTAATCTTAAAAACTGGGAGGTGGTTCCCCAGAAACAAACCTGAAAGCTGAAAGTTATGAAAAAACTACACTGCATTGTTTGCAGTGGTTTACAGAACATCTGATGTGGCGTGCACATTTAAACATAGGATCCAGAATGCTATTCCAAAAGGTTTGATATGACAATGTTGATTTAGTAAATTTAACAGATAGAGGGTATGTTGATGGATTAATGGATGGATAGATTGATTGATGGATGATTTTTTCCCCTATACATTCAAATTAAAGTTAATAATACGGGTATCTGGTGTAACACAACGTTTGGCTGAGAAAATATCTGTTTAATAACTTAAAAGTTATAAATAAATAATAAAGATCAATCAAGTGGACCAGCATGGGAAAGCTACAATGATCCCCTTGGGCACTTGGGAAATGTATTTAGTTTTAGTTTGTGGCAATGATTTTAAATTGCTTTTTGCTTTTTTAAGAGTAATGAAAATTTAAAACATTATCCAAGCCTTTGCTTGATTTGCAAATCAATTAAGCTATGTTACTCAGTAAAAAAAACAACAACAAAAAACTAGTAGGTTTATAGTGTAATATTTTACAATTTGGGGAGAAGACACAAACTCCTCAGGGGGTGCATCAGGAAAAGAATCTGGTGGAAACATTTGCCAAATCAAACATCTGCCACACGCTGTATTAACCCCTTGTGAGTAAGGGAGCAGCCACAAGAAGCTACTAAGTGTGAAAACCTATTCTGAGTATGTTGGGTAGATAGCTTGGACTGGGAGGACTGTAAGGTGCTAGTTCCGATTTGCCGCTACCACTCCCCGGAGTGTCGGCCAGAACACTGCTCAAGGCCCGGATGAATGTTCGGAAGGGAGACAATGAAGACACCGAGGATAGTGCAGACTCTTGTATTGACATCACACAGTTGAAGGTAACAGGGATTGTCAGAGGAGCAGGTTTTGCATACAGGCTTAGGTGTGTGGGTATGTGTGTGGTGTGTGTGTGTGTGTGTGTGTGGTCTCTGAAAGGAACAGAAAGAAAATACTACATTACTAAAGTGTTCACATCAATAACTCCAGAGTACATCAACATAAACACAGGTGGGAAATAAACTAACATCCCCTTTAATACCATAGGCCATATATTACCCACGACTCAAGTATAGACCCACTGAGAGTACACAGTTATACCCAACCACACGGAGTTAGCTTAGCTATCTTAGCTTAGCTATCTGCAGGCCAAACACAACTTGTGTTTGGCCTACCTACACTTAGACATGAAGTATAATATTCTTTATTTGTTTAACAAATATTACAATGTAAAAATTTTTGTTGTGTTAGGACATTTATTTATTTTTTAAAATTTAGCATTACTGTGCTTTTTTATTTTTTTGAAAAGGTAAACAAAATGGTTACATGTATTTGACAAATTGAAATAAAGTATAATCTGCAAAAAAATCAATTGATTATAGAAGAAAGAATGCAGCCCCAAAATGCATTTCTCATTATGGAGATGGTGTATATTGGTGACACCAGTCTCCTGTGAGATGTGAGTCGCAGGTCAGAATGGTCTTGAACTCATAGCCGCCACTGTCAGCTGAACAGGAAAATATACGTGTCCCCCGAGTTGGACGCCGGGAACATGATCCCAGAAGATCATCATAGAACAGATCCTCATCCCATAATTCAACATACACATTACTGTGTGTGTCCACCTTCATGAGAAAAAAAGCATTAAAAATACTGTTGTCCTACAAATAATATGCTTGAGATTTTGTACCATATACAATAGTGACAATGGTAATTCACATCTAATTCATAGAATGTAAATTCTGGTAGCACTGTAGTGTTTTTGATATATATGTCATATTGTTACATATTTTAAATAAGGGGGGAAATGTGCAGTAGCAAGATTTGCATTCAGTACTTTATGACACATGGTTGACATTGTTAAAGCATTCATATTAACTGAAATCATTACCTTAAATTTTTTAAATATACCTGATGAAAGAATTAGTTCTGCTTAAACTTAACCAAATGGAAATAAATAACCTCAGTCAAAGAACAGCTAAAGTTAACTGTATATAAAAGATGTAAGTAGCCCAAGTTCTAAAAATTGAAGTCAGTACATCAAACCTGCAGTATTAAAATTCCTTCAATATGGTCCTTGATCTTATATGTAGTCAGGGTTCACTGACCTGTCCAAGATTAAAATAAGCATTCCATCGGGGATAACTTGATTCGATCATGCGAGTCTGATGATGGATGGAACCGAACCAGAGTTTAACATAGCTGTGAGTAGGAAAAAGACACAAAGATGAATAATATTGCAGATTTCTCAATCTCTAAATCCTAGAGATTTGGAAATCTTTAGAAACCTCTAAATCCTAATCCCTAACCATGCTCGTCTCACCTGTCAGTTGGGCCAAGATGATCTCCTTTCAGATTCCAGGCTCGGATGATTTCCACAGTTAGCTTCCCCCTCCAGGCTTGTCGAGGACAACAGTTGAAATCTAGATTAGGATTGCCCCGCCAACAATTTCGTTGGCTGTGTGATTGACTCACATCATTGTCTGTTAAGTACTGCTCTATGGCAGCCTTCATCCCTGACTTCTTTGTGCCTTTCGG